GTACCGTTGTGCTCGGAGGCGACAGTTGTGTTAAACGTGTGGACCGTTTTTGTACCAAATATCGACTTGCATCTTTGAAGTTCAGGGACCCTCTGGAGGTCTAGTTCAGTGTATCCTCAAACATTCGAATTTTTATTTATTAAGCTTCGCTGGCATTTTATGCTCAGGTTAAAGTTTCTCGTCCCACAGTCCAACACAAGAGAAAATTGAAAGGTACAGCTGGTGGAGGGCCATTTGAGCAACAGAATAATAATTATTATAATTATAAATAGGAAGACCGCTAAATCTAAATCAGCGCGTTTTCTCTTTAGTATGTGTGTCAAATGGGACACGATTTTGATCGATCGAAAGTGAAAAAATAGTATTTTCCCTAGAGACCGTACATGCATTGTGCGTGCACAAAGTTTGTTTTTTTAACTGAGAACAAAAATGGCCCTATCATGTTTGGCACCTTATATTACAATTTAAACTATTTCCTGAATGTTTGCTGGAAGTTATTCTGTACTTGTACTTAGACATCTTGTTTAATCAGCCATGGCATTAATGTTTTCAGGTAAAAAAATAACAATTTGCCCCTCTGTATTTCACTGAGAATTCTTTGGCTGTTAACCTATGTATACATGTATGTTGTGCACAGTTAATTTTGTATCTCAGCATAACTATTATTTTTTATTTTATTTTTAGCATACATTGCCATACACAAAAAAGAACAGAAAATTATAAATTAACTGCAATAAAAAATTGACTACAACATTAGAATAAAATTTTATATTAGATGCTGATCAGGTATATTTGTGATAATTATGTAAAGTCTTATTTTTTTTGTGAAATAATCTTGAAAAATAGCAGGTAATGTTCCAAAGAAGCATAAAAGTGTAATGAGATCTACATGTAATGATTAAATAAAAATGTTTTGGCTTTTCATAAACTGAGAATTGTCTAAAATAAAAAGGCAGAACTGTCATTAAGGGCCGTAACCTATAACACCTGTTACAGCTCAGCTCACTTGATGTTAAATTTAAATTTTTGGGACCTGTGTTGGGTGAATCTTCATTTGCTATGGCTGTTTCAAAACTTAATGACAGCCCTGAAAAGGGATGGTTATATCTCTGTAGAGCAATCCTTGGAGTTATTTTTTTTTTTTTACACCAACATACTTGCCCTCTTTGGGTCACAGAAGATTGCTAGCATTGGGGGTTTACCTGTACTGTTTATTTATTAATATTGTGATTGAGTGCTTTTAAGTTTTATAATATATATACACATAATCAGTTCTTGTTTTGCCAAAAAATGCTTTCCAGAATATGGGTTTTCTTATTTAAGATGTCAGCTAGAGCCAAAAATTGGCACATGATGCTTGTTAGTTTCAGCCGATGAGAAATTTGATACATCAAGTACAAACTTGTCCAGTTTTCAATTCCAAACCTTTGTCAAATTCATGCTTGCATGATTTATGCATGCACAGCAAAACATTTTGACATCGTTTCATTTTCTTCAACAGAAGACCTATTTACATAACTTAAAAAAGGGTAAGAAAATACATGTAACTTAAAAAAATATACATTTCCTTTCGTTAAGTTATATATTGCCATCATGAGGTCACATAGTATTACATCTTTCTGATTGTTGACTGTTGGATTTCCTTTTGTACATGTATCAAATTCATCCATGAGCTGGCTCACAGGAGTCGTTGACTATGATTGATAAGAGTGCAGACCCTTCAAAGTATTATTGTACACTGTAGCATCCCATCAGCACTGTAGCCAGTTTCAAATAATAAGTTGTTTCATATACCATCTGGAATATTAAGATAAAAAGAACTGCTGGCAAATGAAATTAAGCACCACTTTATGGACAGCTCATTATTACAGACAGTTTCCTTTGTCCACAGAGAACCCAAACGCTGTATTAGCTAATAAAATTATTATTTAATAATAATTTAGATGTACATGTAGTAACAATGTATTAGCTTATAAGATAGTTATCTTGAGGTGTAACCGTCGCATCCGACTCGCTTGACAAGCAAGCATTTGATACTGGCAATGTTAATCATCTCTGATTCAAATCCCTTGTAAAACGAATCATAAAGAAACAGGAACACAACACAGGTTATTACATCTTATGTTATTAGCTACTACAGCATAAATGCATCTTAGAATTATTTCATTGGCTAATACAGCATTCGAGTTCACTGTGTCCAGTCTTTGGGCCATAGCAAAAGGGGACTGCTCTACAATGTAAACTGTAGCTGTAATCAAAATACCAAGCTTTTCAGCATAAAACAACCAAATCTAAATCTAATGTAAAATCAGGTGAAAAAGTCGGCAAAAGGCGATTTGTAGGTTTTCTGATTAAGGGATAGGTAGCATAAATGATGGTCATGGACCGCTTGCGTGTGTATATCCAACAGTGTTTATTTACTGTGCAATATCAGATCTGTCAAAAAGTTTTTAAGTAGCAGGCTCATAATAAAATAATAGTAGGCGGCTTTGGAACTCGCACCAAAGGCATTTGTTAGAGTCTCAGTAATGTCCCAGACCTTCCACGACATTGCACCGTTCTACTGTTTCACAGATCTAATTACTGTTTAAATATGCATTCAATGTGATTCAAACCTGGGAAACAGATGCTTTGCAATTTTATTCGATGGTACGTATTTTTTGTTTTATTTTTATTTTTTATTTTTTGCGGGCAGACCCAGGGGAATTTGACATTTTAATGTAAGCCAGAGGCAAATTCCCCACCCCCAGGCACCTACTAAATGTCAATTTCCCGCCTCTGGGGTAACTTTTTCTAACAGAGTCAGGACTTAATAATTGACAGGTTGGAAAGGATATGTCTTTTACAACCTCACATAGTGTTCACCGCAACACAAGAGAGGCAGTGCCAGAAAATGTCATCCTCTGCAGGGCATAATAAAGGTGGCCAAGAGGCTCTAACACAAACTTGATGGTACCACATGTCACATGTGTCACACTGTATCCACAGGACTTGTTCTTGGGCATTATCAGGATCCTTACTCTTGCAGATTTGGCAGACCTGTCAATTACAAATGGAGACTACTCACAAGCCATGATTTTTAAACTAGTAGCAATTGAAAAACATATACTTCCAATCTAAAATGAGTCGAAAACTGCACTGACAATAAAGTAACTAGCCTCTGTATTTTCATTCTCTGCCTTTTTGTTCAATTCTCTTTCCCTCCTCATCTTGGCTGCCTTTGATGCACCACGTTTAATGTCTTAATACTCGCCCCACCCATCATCATATTCCTTAAAGTCTAATGTCTCCGCACTGTCGATTTCAAATTCCTTTTTAACAGTTGATGGAAATGTGCCATCAACGACGAGAACTTTTCACCGCTCACCGCACTAAGCAAGGATCTAAAACAGAGCGCAGAAAACATGCGTAATAATCAAGCATCACAAAGAACATTCATGAATATGCAAACGTGCACAAAAAGTAATCCAAGAGGAACAGAAGGAACGAAGACTCTTCTATTTATAAACATTCAGTCATACAATGAAAGAAGTGATGGTTCATATGTATATCGAAAAACAAAACAGATTTCCTTACCTTTCTTTCGCTCATGTTTTCTTGATACTTTGAAGAAAAGCAGAGATCATTTACGTCTGGTGACTTCTGGGTATTACCAAGATGGCAGGTCACTCATATCCAGTTTCTCTCGGTAGTAGTAGAGGAGGGATGTTTTACGCCGGTTCTTTGCGGGGGAATTCCATTAACTTGCGGGGGGAATAAATTAACGTAGATGACGTCATGCAGCTCATTAAGATAGGATGATGTCATACTTTAAATTAATGCCGATGACGTCACGCATGCCGTTAAGATAGGATGATGTCATAGTTTATTTTTAGCTGGCTGACGTCATGCATGTCATATAGATAGGATGATGTCATAGTTTATTTGTAGCTGACAAGGGGCAAGTGACGTCAGAATTTCCTAGAGTTGACGTCAGCAGAAAAGGTCGAGATTATAATCTATAAACAGAAAAGTGATTTTTATATAATTAGCTATTTGCTACAGTCTTCTGATTAGATATTGTTTGCTATAGTCTTCTGATTGGATATTGTAGAAACTCTCATGTGTTCAAAATAAAAGCGGGCAAATTTTGAAGTGTTATCTTTGCAGATTATACTAAATTAAAAATCTTTAATCATTAAATTATTTTAACTAAAAATCGGTTATAAACAAAACCAAGACACGGAGGTTAACTGAAAAAATCTTTACTTCAAAAGACGGGAATAGGAGGTTAAGCGAATGCGAAATCGTACTAATTTTTCAGGCAAAACATGAAAACGAGGTCGATGCTCAGCGAAGCGAAAAACTGCCTATCAAGCAAAAATGTCATTTTTTGTTTACTTGACTCTGTAGAAAGTATTGCACAGGGTATGAAAATTCTATAGAAAACAACAGGTGGTTCTAAAGTAAACCCTAACTGTTTTGGTTCTTAAATCAACTCCATTTTTGTTCCTAATGAGTGGAAAGTTTATTTATAAAAATAGGAATAAGAGATGCGATCCCCTAGCAACACATGTCTTCTTATTTAGCGCTAAAAATCGCATATATAACAAAACACATACACACATACAAAAAGTGGAGCTGAAAACTCTCTATTTCAATTTTGACTCACCATTACAAAAGCGTTTTCTCTGTTCCATCTCGAGGAAACGACTAACTATTGAAATCTCAGCGCTTGATGAACTTATGGTTTTGTCAATTTACGCGCCGTTAGCGTTAGTCAGTTAATTATGCGGGCTAACAAGTCTAAAGTTGAATACAAACTAGTTCATCTCTACAGCTAGACCCAAGGGAGCACCTTGACTTATTATTGTAAAAGCACAAACCATTGATAACTTAACAAGGATCAATTTAAACACGCGACAAATAAATTGACAAGACACGAGATACAGTTTTAAAAACTTTATTGAAAACCAGTGACAAAAAGAGTCGAATACGCAGCGATTTGGAAGGGATGGAAATTAGACCTCCTCTTCGTTCTCCTCTTTAGAAGGTGAATAAAAATTGGTTTCCAACGTCTTGGCGTTTTTGTGTGTAATTAATCCAAAATCGTGACACCGAAGAAAGCCCTCTTTGATGTATTTTCTCTCCTCGGGGATCTGGTGATCGCATATAGGGCAAATCTTGTAGTTATCGTGCCAAAAGCATCTAGGACATTTCATAATCAATGTGGAGTACACATTAGAGTTTTCGCAATGTCCACAGGGACTTTTAGAGTGAAAGGTGGTGGACGTTTCAAGGCTACTACTTTCTGCTTCCTCACTATCATTTTCAGTGTCGTTGTCGCTCTCTTGGGTGCCTTCAGTTTCAACGCCATTCTCAGAAGCCACTTCCTCCTCCTCCTCCTGATTTTCAATATCCGATGAACTCTCCTCATTATTACTCTCATTATCGGAAGTGTTTTCTATATTTCGGTAGCCTTTTTCCTTTTCTATTAAATCACTTAACAATATTTTGTTCTTGATTAAACCTTTATCGATTCCTAACTCTGCAAGTCCATCTAGAAACGTATTCAGCGCACGAGGCTTGGTAACCTCATTGTTATGAGGGAGTAACACATACTCAACTAGCTCGGCGATGTTTGTGACGGGAATAGTGCGTTTATTTCGAAGTAATTGTCCGCTGGGAGTCCAGAAAAGAATATCTTTGGAGGCGGCCATACTATGCAGCAAATCAGAAGCACGCTTTACCGACACTGCTCGGGAAAGATGACTCAAAACATCTTTTATTCTTGGTTCTTCTTTTATTCTTAGTTCTTCATCCTCGCTTTCATCACCGGAACTTACGCTTTCTTCATGTTCACTCTCGTGTTCTTCTTCAACCAAATCTATCTTTCTCTTCATTTTGATGAGTACCCGTGACAGACCGTAGCTTCAAATGAGTAACTTATAGTTTCGTTTCCTCTTTTATAGCATCAAAAATCCTAGGCTTGTAACAGCAGGTACCAATAGGTCTTGAATAAAACCATCGCCCTCTTGTACAAGGATTCGCTTCTTTGTTTTGTAAGGGACATTTGTTTCTGCTAGGTTTACTAGAGCATCCTTATATGGCAACACGTTCCGCTTATTTTCTTCCGGGAAAAGAATGTATTCCTTAAGTATATTGTATAAGACTTGGACTAATGCATGTCGTTGTTGTGGACTGGCTGTCCGTAAAAGAAACTGTCGCTGATGAGCTGGACAAATAGCTAAGAGTTGAAGAAAACCACGATTGTTCTTGACAACTCGAGACATTGCGACAAACTAAACTTATCATTGTAGTCTGCAGTCTTTTATTGACTGTCGCGGAGAAAAACAATGGAAATGTGGTGGCGGTGGAGGGAAAACAATAGAAATGTGGTGGCGGTGGTGGAGGGGAACCAATAGAAATGTGGTGGCGGTGGTGGTGGTGGAGGGAAAACAATAGAAATGTGGTGGCGGTGGTGGTGGGGGTGGTGGAGGGAAAACAATAGGAAAGTGGTGGTCGTGGAGGAAAACTGTTGAATTGTATAGCCTTCAAAACTATATCAATGCGCATTATGCTAACATTTTCTCAGTCTACATTCTGCTCCTGAGGAGTTAACATGAGTTGGCTCTGTTCTGTCTGCGAAAAGTCCTTTAGTAGAAAGGAAACATGCAAAGGCACGTGATGTCTAAACACCGCAATGCTGGTCTCACCCCATTTCAAACAGTTCCAATATTTTCACAGAAATGTCAGCGGTTTCGCTTCGAGCACCCTTTCACCTCCATGATTGCCGGAATGACCGTGTCCGGAAAAACGGCCTGGGTTCGATCGCTATTGCAACAAGCTTCAGAGACCATTTACCCTCCCCCGGAGAGGATCGTTTGGTGTTATTCACAATGGCAGCCTGCGTATACACAAATGTTAGTCGCCATGCCAAACATTGAATTCGTCCAGGGAATTCCTACGGCTTTGGAGCAGGATTCCTATTTTGATGTCAACAAACGGAATTTGATCGTGTTTGATGATCACATGATTGACGCTAGTAAAGATAAGCGAATTGTGAACCTCTTTACTCGTGGTTCTCATCATCGCAATCTGAGCGTGATTTATATCGTGCAGAATCTATTTCATCAGGGGAAAGGTAGCCGCAGCATAAGCCTAAACAGCCATTATCTGGTGTTATTCAAGAATCCACGAGACAAATTGCAAATCTTGACTCTGGCGAAGCAAATGTATCCCGGGCAGACGGATTTCTTTTTAAATCAGTACGAAGAGGCTGTAAAAAGACCTTTTGGTTATCTTCTGATTGATCTGAAAACTACTACCCAAGATAATTGTCGGTTGCGAACAAACGTCCTGCCCAGTGAAGAAGGCTTTAACCAAGCAGGGTTTCAAGAAAATATTCCACAAGAACTTCTAAAATATCTGAAGCAGCAAAGTCTTTCGCCTGTCCCGCTTCTTCCAGCTATGCAAGAAATACACGGCAACATGGATGACGTGCTTTCTCGAAACGATCTTCGGGACGATGAAAAAGCTAAACGATACCTTCAGTTGCAAAACAGATACCTGGCTTTTAAAGAACAATTAAATACAAGAACACGACCGGGAGAGATAATCAGCACTGTTCCAGACTTAACATCAAGGACAGAAGATTCTTCGACAGCAGCGACAGCATTCTCGACTCCCCTCAACCCCTTTAATGTAACACCTGAATTAACACAAGCGGCTATCTCTCAAAAACCTGACAAAGAAAGCCTCACCCCTCCACCACCCTTAAATCCTGCTCTCCTGACCCCTCCTCCCACAGTAGAAACCCCATCACAACAAGGCCCGAAGCGCAAAAGGCGTCGAATTCAATTTGCAAATTATTTGGATGATCATAAAGCCCATGCCAAACAGCTGAAGAAACGTCGGCATAAGAAATTCGAACCTTACAAGTACTCCATGGGCGAAGAAGATGAAGATTAATTAATTTCCATTCCTTCCAAATCGCTGTGTATTCGATTCTTTTTGTCACTGGTTTCCAATAAAGTTTTTAAAACTGTATCTCGTGTCTTGTTAAATTGATCCTTGTTAAGTTATTAATTGTTTGTGTTTTTACAATAATAAGTCAAAGTGCTCCCTTGGGTCTAGCTGTAGAGATGAACTAGTTTGTATTCAACTTTAGGCTTGTTAACCGGCATAATTAACTGACTAACGCTAACAGAGCGTAAATTGACAAAACCATAAGCTCATCAAGCGCTGAGATTTCAATAGTTAGTCGTTTCCTCGAGATGGAACAGAGAAAACGCTTTTGTAATGGTGAGTCAAAATTGAAATAGAGAGTTTTCAGCTCCACTTTTTGTACGTGCGTATGTGTTTTGTTATATATGCGATTTTTAGCGCTAAATAAGAAGACATGTGTTGCTAGGGGATCGCATCTCTTATTCCTATTTTTAGAAATAAACTTTCCACTCATTAGGAACAAAAATGGAGTTGATTTAAGAACCAAAACAGTTAGGGTTTACTTTAGAACCACCTGTTGTTTTCTATAGAATTTTCATACCCTGTGCAATACTTTCTACAGAGTCAAGTAAACAAAAAATGACATTTTTGCTTGATAGGCAGTTTGTCGCTTCGCTGAGCATCGACCTCGTTTTCATGTTTTGCCTGAAAAATTAGTACGATTTCGCATTCGCTTAACCTCCTATTCCCGTCTTTTGAAGTAAAGATTTTTTCAGTTAACCTCCGTGTCTTGGTTTTGTTTATAACCGATTTTTAGTTAAAATAATTTAATGATTAAAGATTTTTAATTTAGTATAATCTGCAAAGATAACACTTCAAAATTTGCCCGCTTTTATTTTGAACACATGAGAGTTTCTACAATATCCAATCAGAAGACTATAGCAAACAATATCTAATCAGAAGACTGTAGCAAATAGCTAATTATATAAAAATCACTTTTCTGTTTATAGATTATAATCTCGACCTTTTCTGCTGACGTCAACTCTAGGAAATTCTGACATCACTTGCCCCTTGTCAGCTACAAATAAACTATGACATCATCCTATCTATATGACATGCATGGCGTCAGCCAGCTAAAAATAAACTATGACATCATCCTATCTTAACGGCATGCGTGACGTCATCGGCATTAATTTAAAGTATGACATCATCCTATCTTAATGAGCTGCATGACGTCATCTACGTTAATTTATTCCCCCCGCAAGTTAATGGAATTCCCCCGCAAAGAACCGGCGTAAAACATCCCCCTCCTCTACTACTCTCGGTGTTCCAAGATGGCGGCCATGTCAAATTCCCGACCCTGGGCAACGCTTAAATGTCAAAATCCCTACCCAGGGGGAGGCACTCTCAGTCAATTTCCCGTGGGTAGCCCCCCCCACCCTGGGGCTTAACATTGATAGGTGCATGAATCAAATATTTTGCTCTTGAACGCCAATCTGAGGTCTAGCAAAGCCTTGAAAGGAAGGGGAGTTTGCTTATTCTGCCTAAACGCAAGCGATATCGGCTTCAGCAACAAGGTACACAAGATAACACTTTAGCTCAATCAAATCCGTCTGCGGAAAGAAACAGGAGTCCTCGATAAAGACTGTCCGGTCTGTGTGATTGTAAAGTTTGTAAATTATATAAAGCAAGCTGATGCGAAGCATTTTTCGTACACTTTGCTCTGACTACTGGTGAAGAAATGTCAGCGAGATGCCCATTTCAAAGTGGCTAGATATCCCAATGTTTGGCAAATAATTGAGAAACGTGGACTTGAAATAGAGAAGAGTGAGTTGGTTTGTTATTTTCTTTTTCATTTTGTGAACTTCTTCTTGTAATGGAAATGATTAACCATAGCAAACTTTGGCGTTGTTTAGAAATATTCGCTTTCAGTTATTTAGTTTTTAGAAGAGAAGTATTATTACAAACATACTGTGGAGTTGATAATTTTTCAAGTTAATTAGTATTTTCAGTCCAATGAAAGTTCAGTTATCTTCTGAAGCAATACAAGCTGCAGTGAAATTTTTCTAGAAGTTTGCTCCTGATAAAATATTGCCTGTGTGGTCCTACAGTTTTGAATGCTTTACAGAGTCACTTTATGGACATTTTTTTGTCTTTTTGTTCTGATAATGTCATATATTACCGTAAAATTCCGAAAATAAGCCCCGGGGCTTATATTTTTCAAAGGCCCTTTTTGAGGGGCTTATTTTTGGAGGGGCTTATATTCGGAGGGGCTTATCTACGGAGGGAAATTTGCTTTTCAAAATCGATAGGGCTAGCCTTATAGTTGGAGGTAAATTGACCGTTTTTGCTTTGTTTTACTTTGTATTTGGGAGCAATTTTCCAAGTACAAGCCCCCGGGGGGCTTATATTTGGAGGGGCGATTTAACGGAGGGTTTTTAGTGTTACCGGTTTGGGGGGCTTATATTTGGAGGGGCTTATACGTGGAGGGGCTTATTTTCGGAATTTTACGGTATTTTGTTAACTTGAATTTCTAGAACGTTTCCCCCCAACCCCACCACATATCACCTAGCCTTCCTTTATTTAGGGACTGTTTACTAGGGTGGACAAAATCGTCAGTAAATTCCCCTGCAACAGAACGTTACCCTCTATTGCGTGGACAACGTTTAGCGGCCTCTTGTCCCTTTCTTGAGAGTAGCCACTTCAAAAAAGTTTCCCTGTCCCAGGGTTCAACATAAAAGTTAAAGTAAAGAAATCTTAGTAGGCAGCAATAGGCCAAATCATAAGAGGGTTGTCCATTAAATGACTAGATTTCACCGGAAATATCAATAGATTCCACTGGACTCCTCATTTCTTATTCGTGGGTGACTTAAAAATATCAATTATGTTGTGTACGAGGTATATTAGGTGTGTAGGGTGCTTCGGTAGGGTCATGGCATAAAGAATGAGGTATTCA